TATCATTTTCTCTCCTAAATAATTTCTAAAATATTGAATATCCATTAATTTAGTTTTTTTAGTTAATATATTTAATTAACATTGAAGGGTTAATTTGAAGGATTTTTCTAAAGTTGAAGGAGTAAATAACATAATTTTTAATACATTAAAGACTATTTATATAAATAGTTTAAGATATATTTGAGAAAGAGAGTGGTATTTTAAGATTAAATTAGTAACTTATTCATAAAAAGAAAAATAAAGAAATTCAACTATTGTTAGATCTAAAAAGAGTAGTATAATAAAAATCAATATATTTTTTTTAAAATAATGATTATAGATCAAATCTTTTTATATATTGATTTTATGATTCTTTCAAATCGATAGATTAATCAATTTTGATTTAACCAGTCAAATTGACTAATCCGATCTAATTCTAACAATACAACTAAAAGTTTTGTGTTGTCAAAATCAATCTGAACTAACAAGTTCAATTAAGAATCGGTTAGTCTATCAATACAAAAGAATCATAAAATTAAGTGTAACAAAATCGGTGAAAATCAGTTAAGAACTTATTTATAAAATCATATTAAACTAGTATTTTTTTTAAAAAAAATTATATAACTATTTAAAATATTTTGTATGATAAATAAATAATTATAAATTATAATTAGATTAATTCTATTTATTATTATTTATAATTTTTTTATAAAGATATAATTTAGCCATTTATATTTTTATATCATGATATTTTATATTATATAATTTGAGATTTTTCTTCCCTAGATGTAAAATTATATTATTATATTTTATTAAAATATGAATATAAATATTATATGAGTTAATCACCTATACACTGGCAGTGTAGAGTTTTTTTACACTGACAACCAATTATATCTTTTAATTGTATCATGTCATTGTAAACACATTTACTTTTAACAGTGACATGGAACAATTAAAAGATATAATTGATTGCCTACGTGCACTTTAAAGGTGAAATATAAAATGATGTTCTATTTTAATTTTAGCATTGTAAATATATAATATTATATTTACATAATATTATTATATGTATTATTTAAATATTATTATTATTTTATTGATATCAATTTGACCATAATTCAATCATAATTAAATCATTAAATCTTGAATCAGTATTTTGATCAATTTAATTTTAAAAATGTTGTAATAATCACATAAAATATAGTCGCATGAACCACACGAAATTAAGAAATCTAATACACCATTTGTACATATATGTACAAGTAAAACAACATGACTTTACACATATTAAGAAAGTTAGTTAAACATATTTTATTTTCACAAATTCATAAAAATATAGACCATTTAATCTCTTTTGTAAGAAAATAATACAATTTTTTAAAAATATAAACAAATTTTAATTACTTTTAATTCAGTCGATGATACTCTTTCTAAAATAAATTATTTTAATGCATGACTATTTGATTGCACCACTTTTTTTTTTTTTGTATTTATGATAATTTAGAAAAATATTATGGGATTAATAACATTTACCATAATTAGCTAATTTCTTAATATGTGTGAAGGGATACTAACATAGGTTATACAAAAGTCTCAAATTAAACATACCTTAAATTTAAAATCTTGTAATCATTAGCAATCTCCTTAACACAAAACTCATATCACATATAACTCAATTGTTACATATTTATGATACATGAATCATATAATGATCCCATACAATCTAATAAATAATTATATCTTTTTTTATTTTTTAATAATTACTTTTTTTTTTTGAATAACTTCTTATTTTTTTCATTATTTATTTATATATTTTTAATACAATGTAGACACATGTGTCTTTTTTCTATTAGTGATGATAACAATCTTACTCTTATATCATTTACTTTTTTACTTTAAGATTTTTAAAATATTTTTAATTTTAACCTTTTATTCATACAAATGTTTTTTTTTTACTCATAAAAAAATCACATATATTACAATAAATATTATCAAATTTTGATTATTATCTAAATTAAAATAATATTTAATTAATAAAAGTTATATTTCATTAATATAAATTAATTTTTAATCGTTAATTTTAAAATATTACGTGAATTATATTCTTAGGAAAAAAATCTAATTTCTTATATACCTATTTCAATCATTATCATCACCTTAATCTTTCTTGTTTAATCATATTTATACCGTATGGTGGCCGACTAGGCCGAATACCCGAGCCCGCGAGTGATTAGGCCGAGTACCCGAACCCGCGAATAATTAGACCGAATACCCGAACCCTTAATGGTTACGCCGATCACCCTAGTCCACCGACCACTTATAAGCGAGTGAAACGTGTCGGGTCGGTCGGTCAATCTCTGCGCCTCCGCCAGGCCGATTACGAATAGTTTAATTAGCGTAATACATTGGATTAGCCCCCTAATTTTTCGGGGCCCAATCCTTAATCACGGCCCAATACGAGCGTCTATAAATAGAGCCCCAACGAGATGTGTAATTAATCTTTCAACTACCGCATTTATTACGTCGAGAACTAACTTGAGCGTCGGAGTGTCTTTGCAGGCACCCCCAACCTCGCTTCAAACTACCCGAACAAGAACGAGAAGACCGTAACCTTATACCTGACCCGAGACGACCAAGATAATTGAAGTGTGTATCCTAACACAGGAACATTTGGCGCCCACCGTGGCCCCGAAGAGACTTTTCTGCCCCTTTTCAACTCTACCAACTGAGACCGAGACATGGTAGTTACCCGCAAGGGACAATCGACGACGACTCAACCGATTCCTAATACTAACGCCGAAGACAATCCCCCCATGACCAACCAAGAACGCTACTCGTACGGAATGCCTCAAACTCAACCGGAACCCGTGATACAACAGGTCCAACTGAACGTTAACCAACCTCCGCCCAACTTTCATGATGACTTGCGCGCACTGCGTGAGGAAATGGAAAATATCCGAAGGCAAAGAGAGGCCGATGCCCGAGAGATGGCTGAGTTACGTCGGCAAAATGCCGAGCTTCGGAGCTTGAATCAAACGAATGTGCAGTCTACTCTCACACTAGCGGAAGAGTCCACCTATCACGCCCCAACCGACCAGGTCACTCGGACTCTGGCGACATCTTTAATAGCCAATAAGGCCGATACATCCGGCCATTCCCTAAGGCACCCTTTCTCCAGACGAATAATGGAAGCAACTTTATTGGACCATTGGAAGAGCATGCCAATCGAGAAGTACGATGGTTCGACCGACCCCGAGGAGCACTTGAATGTTTTCTTGACTCAGGCAACTCTCTCCACTCAAGACGACTCGGCATTGTGTCGAATTTTCCCCACGTCACTGAAAGGGAGGGCTCTAAGCTGGTTCACCAGACTGCCGACTTCTTCCATCGACTCGTTCACCGAGTTGTCATCCCAATTTACCTTGCAATTCGCCACAAGTAAGCCGTACAGGACCACCTCGTTAGCCTTAGCGGGGGTCCGTCAAGAGAAGAAGGAAAGCCTGAGGAGTTTCATGGACCGATTCAACAAGATTGCAATGGAGATTGGTGATCTTAACCCTGTCGTGGCCTTGGACCGGTTGAGCACAGCACTTAGGCCGGGACCGTTTGTGAATAGTTTGTGCAAAAAGCCACCTGTTGACATGAACGACCTCCGAAGACGTGCCGAGAAGTATATGCAGATGAGGAATTGGCGGAGACAAGAAACCAAGCCAGGGCCGAAGAGGGTTACAGCCGGAAAGAATGCCGAGCCCTCGAACACTCGACCGCCTAGAGGACCGCGCTACACGGCTTATACTCCCCTTAATGCGAGCAGGGCCAAGGTGTTGGAGCAGGCTCTTGCGTCGGAGATTTTGGTGATACCAAAGAGGGCGAACACTCCTCCGAGGGCCGACAAGGCTAAAACTTGCCGATTCCACCGAAATCGAGGCCATTCAACAGAGGAGTGCTCGGCATTAAAAGACAAACTTGAAGACCTTATCAAGCAAGGTCACCTTAGGAACTTCGTCTCATCCCAAGACCACCGACCAAGAGGGAGAGACCAATACCCTCAAAGAACGTCGTCACCCGGGGAACGACGCCATCGATCTCGATCTGTTGAAAGGAAAGACCACCCCCGGAGCTCGCGAGAAGACAATGATCGCCCGAGGAAGATAATAAATACAATTGCCGGAGGCTTCGCCGGGGGAGGCTCTACGTCCTCCGCGCGGAAAAGACACCTCCGGGCGGTACGGTCAGTGAACAGCGTTGATCGGCCGAAGACACCGAAAATGCCGCCGATAACTTTTTCAGACCAAGATTTTCGGGGTATCGACCCGGTCCAAGACGACCCCATGGTGATCTCCGTCGAAATGCATAATTGCATTGTGAAGAAGACCCTGGTCGACCAAGGAAGCTCCGCCGACATCTTGTATTGGAACACTTTTGTGCAACTAGGAATCCCTGAGGAGAGCTTAGAGCCGTATCATGAGCCCCTGGTCGGCTTTTCGAGTGAGCGAGTGATGACAAGGGGGTGCATTGACCTGTACACCCGCTTTGGTTTCGATCAAAGGTCTTTCCGAGAGATCAAAATTCGATACATAGTGGTGCATGGAAATACGTCATACAACATTCTTTTAGGGAGACCGTCGATCAATGCGTTAGGGGCCATCGTTTCGACACCTCATCTGTGCATGAAGTTTCCGTCGAGGGATGGGCAAGTTATCACCGTGCATGCCGACCAAAAAACCGCAAGGGAGTGCTATCTCTCTAGTTTGAGAGTGCAGCCTATTGCCGAGCCGTCGACCACAAAGATAGGCGTGAACGTGGTCGCACAAGGGATAGCCGAGGGTATTGACCTCGATCCTCGGTTAGGAGAGGAAGAGTGGATCGAGGCGGCTGAAGACCTCGTCTCATTTCAGCTCGGTCGGTTACCTGAGCAAATCACGCGCCTTGGATCCCAATTGAGAGAGATCGATGCGAGCCGGGTTAAACGAGCAGTTTGAGATAATAAAGACCTTTTTGCTTGGACAGCGTCGGACATGCCCGAGATTGACCCTAATTTCTTATGCCACCGACCCGAGACGCTCGACCAGTTGCCCTACCTTTTTGCTTCGACGGCGTCGGATATGCCCGGGATTGACCCCAAGTTCTTATGCCACCGACTGGCCGTATGCCGAGATGCTCGACCGGTTGCCCAAAAGAAGAGAAAGATGGGAGAAGAGAAGAGAAAAGCGGCGGATGCGGAGGTCCAAAAACTGTTGCAAGCAAACTTCATCCGAGAAATCACATACACCACCTGGCTAGCAAACGTTGTGTTAGTAAAAAAGTCGAATGACAAGTGGAGAATGTGTACCGACTACACAGACCTCAATAAAGCCTGCCCGAAGGATGCCTACCCACTCCCTTGCGTCGACCGACTCGTCGACGGCGCGTCGGGGCATGCGGTGTTCAGTTTCCTGGACGCTTACTCCAGTTACAACCAAATCAAAATGTACCCGGCCGACGAAGAGAAGACGGCGTTCATAACCGAGAGCGCCAATTTCTGCTATAAAGTAATGCCGTTTGGACTGAAGAATGCCGGAGCAACCTATCAGAGGTTGATGGACAAGGTGTTTCAGGGTCAGGTCGGCCGGAACATCGAAATAAATGTGGATGATATGGTGGTAAAGTCCAGTTCCCTGGCCGAACACCTAGCCGACCTAACCGAAATATTTTCCCAACTTCGTAGACACAACATGAGGCTCAACCCCGAGAAGTGTACCTTCGGAGTCAAGGGAGGCAAATTCCTGGGATTCATGCTATCGGCGAGAGGCATAGAAGCGAACCGAGACAAGTGCCAGGCCGTGTTAGACATGCGAAGCTCGAGCAACCTCAAGGAGCTGCAGCGCCTCTCAGGAAGGTTGGCCGCCTTATCCCGATTCCTCCCACGGTTAGGCGACAAAATCAGCCCGATGACAAGGCTCTTGCGGAAGGCTGCTGCCTTCTCTTGGGACGAGCAATGTGAAGCCACCTTCGCCACGTTAAAGACGACCTTGGCAACACCACCGATCCTCACGAAGCCTGACCCTCTACGCCCAATACTGGTATACCTATCTGTGTCGGACGAGGCAATAAGCTCGGTGCTGGTGCAAGAGAAGGAGGGCGCACAAGTTCCCGTATACTTTGTCAACCGACTCCTGCAAGACTCTGAAACCCGGTACCAACTGATAGAAAAAGGTCGCCCTCGGATTGGTGCATTCCTCGCGACGCCTACGACACTACTTTCAAAGCCACCAGGTAGTGGTGCACACCGACTGCCCGATCTCAAAGGTCTTAGGCAAGCCCGAGCTCGCTGGGAGAATGATGGCCTGGTCAGTCGAGCTCTCACAGTTTGATATCGTGTACAAGCCTAGGGGACCGATCAAAGCTCAGTGCCTAGCGGATTTCGTAAACGAGCTGCACCCGCATGGCCACTTTGAGGAGCAATGGTGGACCCTCCATGTAGACGGCTCATCCAGTGGCAGAGGGAGCGGAGCAGGGGTCATCTTGGAGGGACCGAAGGGTATAACGCTGGAACAATCCTTGCGTTTTCGCTTCAAGGCCTCAAATAATCAAGCAGAATACGAAGCACTACTAGCAGGATTGAGGTTGGCCGAGGACATGGGAGCCTCGAGGATCAAGTGTTTAACCGATTCCAAGGTTGTAGCCGAGCAAGTGGGTGGTAACTTTCAGGTCAAAGATCACATGATGATGAGGTATTATCACGCCTACCAAAAGTTGAAGGCGAACTTTCAGGAGGTGTCGGTCGAGCACATACCGCGTGAAGACAACACCCGCGCCGACCAATTAGCCAGGTTGGCCGCGACCAAAAAGCCGGGCCAACTGAGAACGATCATTCAGCAAGAGATAGACCACCCAAGTGCCGAAACGGAGATAGAAAATGTTGAGGCCGACCCCGCAGGGCAGAAAGGCCCACAAGATTGGCGAGACCGAATCAAGGCATTTATTGACAAGGGTACCGTTCCCGCCGACCCTACCGAGGCTAAGCGGTTGAGGGTTCAAGCTAGTAGGTACGTTGTCGTTGCGGGGCAGTTATACAAGCGTGGTTTCTCCACACCTCTTCTCAAGTGCCTAGACTCCGCTGAAGCCGATTACGTCATAAGGGAAGTGCATGAGGGAATTTGCGGAATGCACTCGGGGGCAAGGACAACTGTGTCGAGGTTACTGCGGGCGGGATACTATTGGCCGACCATAACACCGATTGTGCAGCGTTCGTGAAAAAGTGCCGACCGTGCCAGGAACACGACAACTTAATTCATCAACCGGCCGAGCAGCTTCACTGTATTTCGTCGGCATGGCCTTTTGCCACCTGGGGAATCGACATACTTGGACCCTTTCCAGTGACCAAGGGACAATGCAAGTTTCTCATCGTTGCCGTGGATCTATTCACTAAGTGGATCGAGGCCGAGCCCTTGGCGTGCATTTCGGCTCATCAAGTCCAGAAGTTTTTATGGAAAAACATCATTACCCGATTCGGTATCCTGCATACCCTGGTGACCGACAACGGCCTCCAATTCACCGACTGAAAGCTCAATGAGTTCCTTCTTGGTTTGGGAGTACAACACAAGGTCACATCGGTCGAGCACCCGCAAACTAACGGTCAGGCCGAGTCGGCGAATAAAGTCATCCTGGCTGAATTGAAGAAACGCCTCGGGAAAGCAAAAGGAGCATGGGTCGAGCAGTTACCTGAAGTGCTATGGGCCTACCGATGCACGCCCCAATCAACTACGCAGGAAACTCCGTTTCGCCTAGTCTATGGGTCCGACGCGATGATCCCGGTAGAAATCAGAGAAACCTCTTTCCACCGAGCCCATTATGACGAGTCGAACAATGAGGCCGAGCTCCGCGCAAATTTAGATATCGTAGGGGAAATTCGCGACCGAGCGCTGGTGGTTGCTGAGGCCACCAAACAACGATACAAAAGAAGGTTCGACAGCAAGGTGAAGCCTAGAGAGTTCCGAGGCGGAGATTTGGTTTGGAGAACCACGGGCGAGGCGAGGAAGGATGCGAGGCAAGGGAAGCTCGCCCCAAACTGGGACGGACCCTTCCAAGTCCGACACAACTTGAACAACGGTGCTTACAAGCTGGAGCACCTGTCAGGAGAACCAATTCCGAGAACTTGGAACTCCTCCCACCTAAAGATGTATTACAGTTGATGTAATAGTGCACTCTTTTCCTTGGTCGACTCTTTTTTCCCTAAGGAGGGTTTTGGGTCGGCAAGGTTTTTAACGAGGCACTCAATTAATACAGACATTTTTGAATATTTTGCTTTAAAGTTAATTATATGCGTGTACAAGTCATAAATGTTCAGGTCTGACCTCAGATAATACTCGCCTGGGCCGAGCACTATGCACGAACACCTACGTCGCCGAACTACGCTCGGCCGATCGCTCGAATGTGCACTCGCGCCGAACAGGTTTCCCTCCCGAGTACCCTCCTCGGCTAAGGACGTACCTAGGCCGAGCACTATGCACGAACACCTACGTCGCCGAACTACGCTCGGCCGATCGCTCGAATGTGCACTCGCGCCGAATAGGTTTCCCTCCCGAGTACCCTCCTCGGCTAAGGACGTACCTAGGCCGAGCACTATGCACGAACACCTACGTCGCCGAATTACGCTCGGCCGATCGCTCGAATGTGCACTCGCGCCGAATAGGTTTCCCTCCCGAGTACCCTCCTCGGCTAAGGACGTACCTAGGCCGAGCACTACGCACGAACACCCATGTAGCTGAACCACGCTTGGCCGATCGATCGAGGCATTCTCGAGCCAAACAGATTTCCATTCGATCACCGTACTCGACTAACGATTCCCCTATTCCGAGCGCCTCGCACAAACGTCTCCACCAACGAACAAACCTATGAACGAGTACTATGAGCCTAGGCTGACCACACCGAACTGAATATCCAATAAAGCAAACTCCTCAAGAATGAAAAAGCAAAAGCCGAACTCTCACACGTCTATGTAGATTATCCAAGCTAGAAACTAAACGTTTTTAAAATCGAGCACTCTTGCTAACACACGTTACGGTAAAGCATGTAAGCATATTATAAGTAGACTCAAGAAAATAACTACTCGGAATAGTATACCAAGCAAAGCGTTTTACTAACTGTGGCCGATCAAAACGGCATTACAAAAAATTGTATCAAAACCGACGCCATTGGCCGGAACTACAAAAAGGCTCCAATGGCCCGGTTACAATAAAGCAAAAAACCCTAAGTACCCTTTACCCAAGCCGGTCACTACACCGCGGCCGAGCTCGGTGGATCCCCGTCACCAACCACATCTATGATCGGGTCTTCCTCTTTAGTTGACAGCACGGGGGCTCGGGTAGACACACCTTGTAACATCTCAGTTTTCAACATGATTATTACTATTA